GGTGGCTGGGACCAGCTGCTTGGCACGCTGTGCCAGAGGGAAGGGCACAAAAATGCTGGGAAGACGCTGCTGCCTTGGAATCCCCGGTCGACCCGTTGCCAGGTCGGCTCCTGCCCCCTGCATCTTCCCCACCCAAGCCCAGGGGTTGGCTCTGACCTTGGAGAGAGTTGAGGATGGTGAAGAGGTAGAGCAGGGGAGCAGAGGAGGTGCCATGGGTGAGGAACGCCAGGGCCCAGGTGGCCCCCAGCAGACAGAAGAGCCCCAATGCCACCAGGGCCACCTTCCAGGCCTTGCGGTCACCCTGCACCGCTCCCGTGCCCCGCAGGCTACAGCTCTTCTGCGTCACCACTCCGAAGACAGCCGTGTTGAAGAGGAAGATGAGGCCAAAGTAGCCGCAGTTGGTGATGTAGTGGACCAGGAGATGTTTGGAAGTGATCCAGCACCTGAAAAGAGCCAACAGCGGTGCCTCAGCAGCTCTGCCAGCCCCGGCAGCACCCAGGGCATGTGTTTGGGGATGCAGGGACACCCTTGGGGGGTTGGGTTTTTTTTTCCCAAGGCCAGGGTGAAGCGGGGGGAACAGCGGTGTGGATCCGCTGTCCTCAGGTTGCTCAGCTGGGAGGGTGCCTGGGGAAGCTGCAGGTGGACCTTAGATGTCCCTCCATGACCTGGAGGCCTGCAGGCACCACCGAGGAGGTTCGGCGTGAGCGGTGGTGTCTAACAGCGCTGCAGCCGCTGTGTTGTAATCATGATTAGGGAAGCAGAAGCATGACGTAACGCCGATCAGCACGAGCGCAACCCTCTGCCGCTGCGCTCCCGGCAGGGACGGGCCACCGTTCCCCGGGACAAAAAGGCCAGGCAAGCCCTGTGGGCAGCACGCACAGGTGGGCTATGATCTGGTGGTCCACGGTCCGGATGCTGTATTGGCCGTAGCTGCCGATGACTCCTGCCACCCCCACCACAAGAACGGGGAAGCCTGGAAGAACAAGAGAGACATGTGGAAGAGGCCAGAAGGGCAAGCGACAGGCGAGGTGGTCAGCTTGGGGTCTTCTGCATGTCCCTGGATGTGCCAGCCTCGGCGCTTGGGGACACACTGAGGTTGCGCACGCTGCGGGGACCCGACGCGGAGAAGGACAGCGCTGGGCGGCACGGCGCGAGGTGTCCCCTAACCTCCCTGTTCCGATGCCCCCCAAGGTGCTGTGAAGGGCTGGCAATGGGGCAACGAAGACCCCCAAGGACACCACCTGCTGACAAGCAGGAGGCCGGTCCCCAGCGGGATGGAGGGTGCCTGCGGGTGCTGCCCTGAATTTGGCTCACCCAGCCTGTGTAAAACATTTCCCACAGCGTTTGGACGAGCTGCGGGCAGGGTAGGGGCTTGCTCACTTTCTGCTCGTCACCCTGTTCCCCCTCTGGTTGTAACCCACCGTCCCTCTCGCCCAGGCTGGTGGAGCTCACCCCAGCCGACCAGGCACAGCTTCACCAGGTAGTGGCGGACGTAGGTGCCGAGGACCTTGACGAAGAGGAGGTAGAGGTGACAGCCCTCCAGCGCCATCCAGGTGAAGCAGCAGAGCAGGCAGTAGTGGGTGATGCCCCCCAGGACCTTGCAGGTCCCCGGCTGGGTCCCACCGGAGAGCCCGCTATTGAGCAGGAAGGCCAGGTTGAGGAGGAGCAGGCTGCCCACCAGGTTCATGTGCAACCCCAGGTTGGTGCGGAGGGTCTCCTCCAGCCTGAACCTGCACCTGAGCATCCCCGGGGGGAGCAGAAAAGGTGGAGGTCACAGCTGAGCAGGGCCCTGTCCCCTACTGCAGCAGGTTTGTGCAGAGGTACCGCAGTGCCCCACATCTCTCCCAGCCCCACAGGATCCTGGGGAGCTGCTGGCACGTCGTACCTTAA